GAGCACGATGATTTGTCTGTGTCTGGGTGTAATTTACCTATAATATGTATATATTTAGAAATATACGAGTATGTTTATCAGCAGTCTGGTTACTATAGCACAGGTTCTGCCTATTTTGGAATCAGACGGCCGTGTGTGAGATGTGTGAAGTTATTATTATTATTAAAATGGTTGTGTATCTCAGGTTGTTTGTCCAGCACAGGTAGTTTAGAAATTCTAGGAAAATTTGACAACATTGAATTGTTTTGAAAAATGATTGCAATTTGTTCGGTTGTACTCGTACATTTGTCTATGGACTATCTTTAACAACTGAATATTGAAACAAGGTGATGTTTTATAGAAAATATGATAGAAAAACAAAAATATCAAGTGGTAGTAATTTTAGTGAAATTGGACTTAATAACAGGCACCATAATGTAAATTAGTTTAGAAGCAGAGTTGGACTAAAATCGCTCCCTAAAAGTTCTGATTTAAATGTAAAGTAGGTGATTAGACCTTCAAGAATAAGAAATGCACCTTAACAAGTTAGGGACATCGGCAAGTTTCGTGTCTCACGCTCATAACTTTTATATTTATGTTGTCATTTGTCAATGACATTGCATTTGAGTATTTTACGTTTTTCGTTGACATGCAATATTGGAAATGCCAGTCATCAAAGAGCAGTATTTAGATCAAATATTTCTTCGACACGTAACGTTGTCACAGACACAAAGCTTTTGAAACAAAAATGTCTGCCATTTTGAATCCTGTATGGAATTCATAGTTAGTATCAAATAATTAGTTTGGTATGTGGTTTTGTGAAGGCAGATCGGAACGAATATAATTTTTTAAGACACAAATTTACACTACATTACAATTTTTTTAAGACAAGACTACAAATGGTTTTCATAATAATTATTTTATTCAATATAAAATAAAAATTTTGGTAGTTGCTTATCGGGAAACATAAATAAAAAACAATCTCATATACTAGTATATTTGCTATACAAATTACGAAAAAATTGCAGTAAATTTGATTGAAGATGGAAGGTACGATAGTTAAAAACACCAACTTGACGACCGCCAGTTAATTAATTATGAATTACTTTTTGTAAGTCTAAATGTACTAAACACTTCACCCGGGCGATAAATTCAGAGAATTTAATGTTCATTTTTTTTTTCATTTTGTGCACTCTGTGTTATGAACTTTCAAGATGAATCCTAAATGCATGTGCGGGATGCATTTAAGATTCATTTTGGATGGAAAAGTTGCAATACGAGTTTTACAAAGTTCATATTATTAGCTCATTTTGTTGTTCGCAGAAATCATATAAGTTTAGTCATTTTATCAAGGTGATTATGTAAAAAACAATCATACCTAAAAATTTGAATCGATCATCAGTATGTATGTGTCTTTATACATACATACGTATGTGTAAAGACACATACATACTGATGATCGATTCAAATTTTTAGGTTGATTGTATTGATTTAAGTAAGTTACTACCACAGGTACTAAAGAACAAACGCAACTATAGAATGATCTAAAAACATGACTTTTAACAAGCACACAACACACAAAAATTTGCATAACACAGCTGCAATTTATGACTACATATTATTTTCCTCAACAAAAAGGATCAGACCTGTTACGTTGATCTAGAACACTGTTTAGACCTACACGGCTAAGCCGCAAGCAGAAAAGTATAATATTTGTTAGAAACATTTAAAGACATTCGTATACTCGTAAGTGTTACCCTCACAAATCTTTTTTATAGCTTTGAAATGAGCATCTGTTATCTTCCCAACATTAAGCTCTTGTAACATTCTTATTTTGTAGACTACGTTTTTTACGAACATACATGAGTTTTTTTTTATGATAGAGGGGGCAGACAAGCAGACGGGTCATCTGATGGAAAGTGACCATCGCCGCACATGTACGTCTGCAACTCAGGAGTTACAAACACTTTGCCAACCTTTAAGGAAGGAGTACGCTCTTTTCTTAAAGGTTTGAACATCGTATCGGTCCGGAAATACCGCAGACGATAACCTGTTTCACAGATTGGTTGTACGTGACAAAAAGTGTCTGGAAAAGCGCACAGTAGTGGAGCGCCAACTATCCAGTGTGGCAGGGATGAAAATTTTGCCGTGTGGCACGATGGCGGAAACTTGCGGCATGTATTAGTCCGAACAAATCCTGGGAGCACTCTATATGATATGTGCTATAGAGAATACAGAATGAAACCACATCTCTACGTATCGCCAACGGATCGATCCGATCGGAGATGTTTGGGCTATCAGCGATTCGAGTTGCTCTTCGTTGGATGCGGACCTGAGGGAGAAGCTGGCACTGAGGTGCCCCTTTATAGAGATGAGAACAGTATTCCATAATACTGCCTCAATCTTTTCAGTACACTGAGCTTCTTAGAGGGTAAGGTGTGAACCCGAAACTGGACGTCACTCGATATGTCGATGCCTGAGATTCCGATACATGCTGAGGCAGTTAGATAGGTGCTCTCAAACCGAGGTGATACGACAAATGGAGATACCATTTTGCGGTGAACTCACAAACCTGTGTCATTTTTGGGTTTAAGTGTACGCATGTGTTTCTCCGGCTAGAAACTATTATCCTCTTTTAAGCATTTTAGTGATTTACTCATCATTATCATCATAATGATCGAAAGCCTTTAATAGTCCACTACTGGACATAGGACTCCCCATACGAAATGGTCACTTACCATCATGTTATATAACTTCCACTTCCTTGCTCTTTCTAATACTGAATTAACTAATGGGTTCCGTCTTGTTCTTCATTAGAGCCTAGGTTTCATAGTAATCAGCTAGGACAGCTCAAGTCTTTATTTTACTAGGGGTCATTCCACAACTGATGCTAGTATTGAGCTTATAAAAAATATATTTGATGTCTGGGAGGATGCCCACGATTCTCTAGGTAACTTTTGCGATATATCTAAAGCTTTTGATTGTGTTGTTCATGAAACGGTGATGAGGAAATTACAGCACCATGGTATCAAAACTAAAGCACTGAAACTTCTTGCTTCATATCTAATTAATGGGATTTAGAATGTTGATATTAACGGTGAGTGATCTCCGGGTACTGTGGTAGAAATGGGTGTTCCAGAAGGTTATATTCTCTATAGGTAGTATATTACCTCACCTTGTCAAGGATAATCACGAGATTGTGTCGTTTGTAGATGATACATCACTGTTATTTAGACTCAAACGTAAACTTACCAATTTCACAGACGTAAACAGTGCCATTTCGAAATTTGTGCATTGGTTTGACGTTAACGATTTGCTTTTGAATGGAAATAAAACTAAGTGTATACGGTTCACCACGCCAAACGTCAAGCCAGTGAAAACCACTGTGATGATCAAGAATGTCGAGCTAAACCTTATGGATACAACGACATTTTGAGGAATAACATTCGATTCTAAGCTACAGTCCCCACTGTAGCTAAATTATCGAGTTATTATTAAATTATTATTTTCGTAGCATAATGTAGTACGATATTCTATTGTGGAGGAATGCTGCCGACATTCAAACTATTTTTGTGCTGCAAAAGAGACAGTTCGAAAAATTTATTATTTAAGCAATCGTTGTTCATTAAGGCAAAAATTTAAAAAAATAAACATAATGACAGTGGCAAGTCAATATATATATATGAAAATGTAATATATGTTCATAAAAACAAAGATAGCTTCTTGAAAAGAAGTAATGTACTTACTTTTAATACCAGAAATAGAAATAAACTTGTAGTACCTGCCTCTAGGCTCTACAAGATAAACAAGTCATTTCGAGGCCAATGTGTCCGATTCTGTAATAAAATCCCAAATAGTATACAAGATTATAGTATAAACAAATTTAAATCCACAATAAAAATGTCAAAAAGCTTACTGCTAAGTTGTGGATTACATAGAAGACAAGAATGCTTGGGATTAATTTAGCACAGCCTATTTCCGTAGTGGAAATGTGATGTGGGCTAGTGTGTCTTTTATTTAATTTTCCATTTTTTTATGTTTTACTTCACTTTCTTTTTTATTCCATCTTTTTTCTATAACTTGGTTTCTCTTAATTGACTTTTTACCTTTTAGTCCTTAAAACTTACATACTGGCACACATTAAAACAATAGTGTGTATATTTAATGATGCCATTGTTATCTGTTGATCGAAGAGAATTGCCGTGAATTTGTTTGCCCTTTCTTCTCATGAGGCTCAACACCTTGGAAATGGGCAGTTGTAGACCAGCATTTGCATATAAGAGATTTACGATACGTATAAATTTAGTTTGCTAAATATTAGACAAAACAGAAATTGTTGCTATTGTGTGTGTTGATCTATGAGTTTAGAGTCTACACAAGAGACGATTTCAATTTTTTTTATGAAATAAATATATTTGAGTTTACGTTTTATTTAAATACGGAAATAAGTTTGTCCGTTTTTTTGCTATCGGTTTGTAACGTTCTCACGTCTTAACTGCTCTACTGATCATTTAAACTCATAGTGTCAAAGGAACAGGAAAGGATATATATGCTACCTTTATCCAAGACGAGTACTACTCCCGAGAGACACCACAATATTTATTGACAAATTCTACATTTAAGAGAATTATAACTTACTGACGACGTGTTATGAGATTGCACGTGATTAATGATATGGGACTACTATTAGATATATTGAAACTGTTTGAATATCCCATAATAGGTTTAGTAAATTTATAATGCTCGTAATCAATAGGTTTCGAAAATGCTTTGCTATTGAAATATATTACTCCTAAGAAGAGCATATATTTTTATATGATCAGAGAAATTACGTTACACCTAAAAAAAATTAAAATAAAAATTTTCTATTTGCAGATCAGCAATACCGCGATGCTATGGAACGCAGCGGCAGCAGTGAGGTGACGAAACCAAAAACAATGGGGCAGCATACGTTCTATGGGCAGGTGTGGAAAGGCTAATGTAATAGAATACAGAGTCACATACAGCCTTTTCTCATGGAGATGAACGGGACGGACACGCGAGCCGAGGAGGCGGCGCTGGCGCTCGCGCTTAGCGTCACCGTCACCGTCATCTCCGCTATTGGATTGCTGCTCAACGCTTACATTCTATTCGTCATAGTTATAACTAAACAGGTATTTTTTAAACCTTATGGTATATTATTAGCTCGAAAACGCAGGAGCAAATTTGACTTTAATATAAATGGCACAAAGTAGAATCGAACTTAGATGTCTTTTACATAAATCACCACCCGCTTGTCTACTTTTGGTTTTCTGGAGTTACAGTGTTTAAATACTACATTAAGCTTAGTTATGATGCCATGACAAAAGAAGCGTTAAGAGTGTTCATTTTATCTCAGACAAAATTGTCAATGATAAATAGATGCGGTCACATTTAGCGATCAAAATTAATTTTACAGTTCAATTTGTTCTAAAAAGTTTTATGACGATGCATTTGATATCTCATTTATAGCGTTTTGAGAAAATGTGCTCATTGATTTCGATTGCGGTTTAGTATATCCGTATCTTCATTAAATAAATGAAATCACTGAATATCAAGTTATCCAATCTTTTTAAAAATCTGTTCAACACTAGTATTTTCTTCATTCTATATTTACATGTATATATGTTTTAACATCGCTCATGATAAAAAACAGGTAAATATTTACTTTACCAATATTAGAAACATCGCTTATTACCTACTAGCTTGGCCTTTCTTCGCTTCATTAAAAAAGTTATTACTTACGTGATATAGCCGTATTAGGCCAATCATTAATGTTCTCTTCATAAATTTTATACTATTCTTTGAGTATATGCTATGGTGGCCATGAAGTATTTATATTGACCAAAATCAATTAAGGTTGGATTAAATATAGTGTTGAAGTTATTATTCCTGATGTATATTTATACAGGTACCATTAGATGTCTAGGTTTGTTTAGAAAATGACAACAACTAAATTAATTGAAAGTTTTGCCACCGTTGCTGTTTACTTTAAGAAACGTTCATATAACGTTCATATAAGTTTTACCTAAAAATCTTACCTACCAAAGAATTGGATAAACGTGGATTACATTAAGAATAGTTATCGACAACCATTCTCTTGATAACTTATTTACTCTATTTAATGCTCCTTATTAATTCACTTAACCAGAAAACTTGCATATTTTGTATTCGTTGGAGAAATGTAAATAATAAAAATAATAACGGGTTCTCAAAAACTACAAAAAGTTTAATGCTGAAGCATTGAGGATCTCATCTTCAGTTTTTTCAGTGTTTAGTAATAGAAAAAAAAAGCGCACAGTAGTGGAGCGGCAATTATCATGCGGTGGGGTTGAAAGTTTTGCCATGACAGAACAATTCCTGGGAGCACTCTCCTTGATATATGCGATAGAGAATGCAGAGTGAAGCCAAAGGACGAGCCAGTTGGAGATCTCTTGGCTATCGATAATTATTGTCGCTCTTCTGTGGACACGGCCCAAAGGGAGAAGCTGGTACTGGGGTGCCTCTTGCGCCGTATAGAGTTGGAAGAATATAGTTTCTTGAAAGAAAAGTATTTTAAATACAATTTCGGTGATAAAGTAGACCATCCTGTATGTATACATGAGCAGTCTCTCTAAACCGGTTGCAAACGGCACGCGCTGTTAACGTGTTCGGTGAGAGAACAACACGATACATAGTACCGCGACTAATTAATAAACCCTCTGATATAAATCAATGTCTAAACGAAAAAAATTCAAACATAATTTAAAAGAATTCTTTTTGGAAAACATGGCCTAGTGGCAGCGGTGGACCAGAGTGAAATACTGCCTCGATCTGTTCAGCACACCGAGCTTCTTCGAGGCAAATTTGACCTTACCCTCTAAGTGATCCCGAAACTGCACTTCCCTCGATATGTCGATGCCTAGGATACCGATACTTGCTGAGGCAGTAAGGGAGGTGGTCTCGAACCGAGGCGATACGTCCAACGGTATTTAAATGGACTAGATTCAGTCGACCCCAGTCTGAAACCTCAGCTAAGGAAGTTTCGACTCTCGATGACGTTTTCCCGAGAAATATTGGGGCGGCCGGTATTAAAAGCATCTCCCATGCTAATCTTTAGTAATCCTATTTTATTACATTTTTCGTTCATTACTTAGAAATATGAAGTATACTCCAGAAGATGTGTTTAAAATCAACGGGTTCTTTAGCTACATAACATTAGCGGCTCTAATAACGTTAGGGTCTAGACTAGTGTAACAATTAGAATCTTCCACTTAACAAAGTGTGGTCTACTTCAGAATTATTGCTATGTTGGGTAATTTACTAAGGCGCCTAGTTAGAGTTATTACAAGTACCCAGCTAAAGCTTTTTCCTTCTTGTAACGCTTGTTTTAAGAGGTTTGCTAATCGAGGTGTTAGTGTATAGTATAATAATAATATATTCTACCACATACACACAACGCCATCTAGTCCCAAACTAAGCAGAGCTTGTACTATGGGCACGGTACTATTATAATACAGTACTGTAACTCGGCCGCATGATAGAAATAAATGCCTACAGCCGCGCGGTACGTAAACATGCGTTAGGGCTGCCCGTCTCCAGCATTTTATTTATATTTGCCTACTTTCTGTTTCTATTTAGATTTGTGATTGTAAATATCCTTTTCATATAAATAAATGAAATACTTTGTATATTGAATAGGAAGTGAGCCCGCGATAAAAGCTGCAATAGCTTAAAAATCCTTCTATAGAATAAAAAAATGTGCGTTCTCCTTACGCGTTACAAAACTCCAATCCTTAGAAACTCCAACACCTACCTACTGAACTAGAATGCAAGAAACAGCTGACGAGTAAGTAACTTTTTATCTCAGCTTATTAACGTCTCCATAAATTAGGTACCTACCTACAACTCAAAACAAAAATTAATTGGTCACCAATTAATTAATTATTAAAAAGCTGAACAGCTGACTACGAATGTTTTAAAATCACAACCCTCAAACATCTAAATCTATACGAATATTTTAAAGCTGAAGAGTTTGATTGTTTGTTTGTTTGAACGCGCTAATCTCAGGAACTACTGGTCCGATTTGAAAAATTCTTTCAGTGTTAGATAGCCCATTTATCGAGGAAGGCTATATATCATCATGCTAAGACCAATAGGAGCGGAGCACCAATGAAGAATGTTTCAAAAACGGAGATAATTTATTACTATTGAGAGACGCAGAGGAAGTTGCGCGGGTCAGCTAGTATTATATATGAGTCTAGCTGTTGATGTTAATACCGAGAAAATGAAACCAGTTTTTAGTGGTATATGTTGTTATAGTAGCAGCAGAAACACTTTGTGAAAATTTCGAAAACTATCTAATGACACACAGACGGTAAAAAAATGTTTCTAGTATTATTCATACACACAGATAATAAACAAAAATTATTAAAAATAAAATACCACGTCTTTACTTTGAATTATGCAAAGTAACAAAACACACATGCACCGAAGTTTTAACACAAGCGTAAGTAGGTAGGTACCTACCGTATCATGATTCATTCAGAACCGCATATAACTACCTATTTCACTCGTCTCAATAACTTTCCGTTACTCTATTCGCTTTATTAATCCAAACACCTTTTTTTTCGAAAGATAAAAGGAAATACTTATCCATTAAAAAGACACACATTATGTACCTACCTACTAGTAAGTAAAATTATTTTATAGTCTTACCTTTCAGAGTTTCCAGGTAATTTAAAAAAACGTCTGGATGCGTTATTGAATAATTCATACAACCAAAAACAGCACAATATTTCCTACTCGTCATATTAACTGATTTTTAGAGAAAAAATCGCGCGGTTATTGTTAAAAAAAACAACACACCGTCCGTTCGACACTGCGGTACAGCCGTGACTGTCTGCGCCCCGAGCGCACCCCGAGATCGAGGCGCGTAGGTATAACTCGCGTTTCGTCCGTTTGTATGAAGTTGGAGTACTGTATTATAATAGTACCGTGCTATGGGTACTAGACAACTGATATAAATACATATATACTTTTTTTTTGGTAAATACATACATATTATACATAGAAACACCCAGACCAAATCAAACATCAAATGTTCATGCACACAAATGTTTGACTTGAGCGGGAATCGAACCCGCGACCTTTGGAATAGCAGTCCGGAACACAAACCACTACGCCATCCAGTCGTCATATATACTATAGTATATATACTATATATAGTAGTATAGTGTATGTTTATTTATTTATTAAAAACATTTACAGTGTCTTTACAGGATTTATCCCAAAACGATACTGTAAGTAAAAACAGTAAGTAACAGTTATTTATACATAAAAATCATTTGCTGTAATAGATCTCTGGGCGACTTACGGCGGGCGATCTACTTGTATTGTAATAATATTAATAAGCCTTATGGCGCGTGATATAAGAGCATATCGAAGTAAATTTGTTCGCGTTACGGGAACGGTGATATGTTGTTGCTTGAAGAGGTAATCCCAAAGGAATGGTGTCAAACCCAACTCGTACCCATTTTCAAAAATAAAGGAGATGTTAAGGAATTCAACAACTATCGAGGAATAAAGCTCATGTCACATACTATGAAAGTCTGGGAGAAAGTGATTGAGAGAAGAATAAGAGATGAGAGTCAGATTACCCAAAGTCAATTTGGGTTTATGCCAGGACGCGGGACAACAGAAGCTATATTTGCAACTATGTGAGAAATACAGGAGTGCGCACAAAAACTTGCATATAGTGTTTGTGGATCTCGAAAAGGCATATGATAGGGTACCCCAAGAGGTTTTGTGGTGGGCTTTGAAAGAAGAAAGAGTGCCTGTAAAGTATGTAGAATTGATTCGTGCTATGTACAGAGAGTCTAGCACTCATGTAAGGTCGGTCACGGGAAACACTGATCAATTCAGTGTCTCTGTAGGCTTGCACCAGGGATCAGCTCTGAGCCCTTACCTCTTCCTGTTGATAATGGATGCTCTGACATCGGACATACAGGAGGAGGCACCTTGGTGCATGCTATTTGCAGATGACATTGTGTTGGTCGGTGTAGATGGGGTTGAGGTCCAGAGCAGACTGGAAAAATGGCAGCAAAAGCTGGAGAATGTTGGCTTGAAAATTAGCAGAGCCAAAACTGAGTACATGTTCTGCGATTTCGGCGGTCTCTCCAGTCCTGAAACCATTTCGCTGGATGGGATAGCGATAACAGTCTGCTCCAATTTCTAG